TGGCCTTGAGCGTTCAATAACAATTACTGTCGGTCGATCGAAAGAGTTCTTACTTTTTTTCCGAATTACCGATCTCAAACAATGTAACACTGGATTATACCAATAATATATTTAGAGTGAATCAATAGAAAATTGCATTAAAATTGCATAAAAAAAAATTTAATTTAAAATTAAAAAATTGCCTTTTTAATAATGATGTAAGACTGCATTGCACCAATAATGCATTTAGAGTGAATCCCTAGAAAATTGCATTAAAATTACATTAAAAAGAAATTTTTTTTTAATTCCAAAAAATTGCTTTTTAGCGATAAATCTGAGAATGCAGTGCACCAATAATGCATTTAGAGTGAAACCCTAGAAAATCGCATTATAATTGCATTAAAAAAAATTTTTTTTAATTCAAAAAATTGCATATTTGCTATAAATCTGAGAATGCAGTGCACCAATAATGCATTTAGAGTGAAACCCTAGAAAATCGCATTATAATTGCATTAAAAAAAATTTTTTTTTAATTCAAAAAATTGCATATTTGCTATAAATCTGAGAATGCAGTGCACCAATAATGCATTTAGAGTGAAACCCTAGAAAATCGCATTATAATTGCATTAAAAAAAATTTTTTTTAATGCAATTTTAATGCAATTTTCTAGGGATTCACTCTATATGCATTACTGGTGCAATACAGTGTTACATTAATATTAAAAATCGATTTTTGAATTTAAAATTAATTTTTTTTAATGCAATTATAATGCGATTTTCTAGGGTTTCACTCTAAATGCATTATTGGTGCACTGCATTCTCAGATTTATCGCTAAAAGGCAATTTTTTGGAATTAAAAAAAAATTTTTTTTAATTCAAAAAATTGCATATTTGCTATAAATCTGAGAATGCAGTGCACCAATAATGCATTTAGAGTGAAACCCTAGAAAATCGCATTATAATTGCATTAAAAAAAATTAATTTTAAATTCAAAAATTGCATTTTAATATTAATGTAACACTGTATTGCACCAGTAATGCATATAGAGTGAATCCCTAGATAATTCCAATAAATTGCATAAAAAAAAATTCTTTTTTTAATTCAAAAAAATTGCATTTTTGCGATAAACCTGAGAATGCAATGCACCTATAGTGCATTTAGAGTTAATCCCTAGAAATTTGCATTAAAATTGCATTAAAAAAAATTAATTTTAAATTCTAAAAAATTACATTTTTAATATTAATGTAACACTGCATTGCACCAATAATGCATTTAGATTGAATCCTTAGAAAATTGCATTAAAAGATAATTTAAAAAAATTAATTATAAATTTTAAAAAATTGTATTTTTAATATTAATGTAACACTGGATTATACCAATAATATATTTAGAGTGAATCAATAGAAAATTATATTGAAATTGCACGAAAAAAAATTTAATTTATAATTAAAAAATTGCCTTTTTAATATTGATGTAAGACTACATTGCACCAATAATGCATTTAGAGTGAATCCCTAGAATATCACATTATAATTGCATTAAAAAAAATTTTTTTTTAATTCAAAAAATTGCATTTTTTGATAAATCTGAGAATGCATTGCACCTATAATGCATT